TAATATTGGCAAATCACATCCATTGAGCCAAACGTAACACACGAGGGTTCGATATACTCAATGGTGCAACAGGTCGATTTAGTCTGACATTTACGGAACCTTTCATTACTTGTCGATTTTTAGTAATAACTCGACCTCAGCACCACCTGGCAGCTCTTTTTTGCAATTGGACTGCCTTTACCGTTTCACTCAAACACACACACAAAACTTTTTTGAAATCCCTCCAGCCATTTAGGATTTCACTCACAAACATACCTACAGAAGAATTATATACACATTGAAAGATAAGGCAAAGTCAGTACGTTTGTACTTTTCCACGTACCATGAACACTTCCAGAGATATGCAGTATGAAATTTAATTTTTTTATTATGAAAAATTCGGTTTGTATGGGAGATACCACGCCCCTTTTCAAATAGGCCGAGTTTTTCTTCGTGAATATGCGATTGACTTTATATATCTCCATACCAAGTTCCAGTACTCTACCATGAACATTTCCAGAGATATACAGCTCCAATTTTTCTGAAAGAATATGCGATTGATTTTATATATCTCCATACCAAGTTCCAGTACTCTACCATGAACATTTCCAGAGATATACAGCTCCAATTTTTCTGAAAGAATATGCGATTGATTTTATATATCTCCACACCTAGTTCCAATACTCTACCATTAACATTTCCAGTGTATGCAGTATGAAAAATTCGGTTTGTATGGGAAGTGCCACGCGCCCTTTTCAAATACCTCAAATTTTTATCTAAGAGTATGAGATTGATTTCATATAGTTCCGTACGAAGTTCAAAAATTTTATCATGAACGCTTCCAGCAATATGCAGTATGAATATTCGGGTTGTAGGGGAGGTACAACTTTCTCTTTTCCAATAGCTCCAATTTTTCTGAAAGAATATGCGATTGATTTTATATATCTCCACACCTAGTTCCAATACTCTACCATTAACATTTCCAGTGTATGCAGTATGAAAAATTCGGTTTGTATGGGAAGTGCCACGCGCCCTTTTCAAATACCTCAAATTTTTATCTAAGAGTATGAGATTGATTTCATATATATCCGTACCAAGTTCCAGTACTCTACAATAAATACTTCCAGAGGTATGCAGTATGAAAAATTCGGTTTGAAAGGGAGGTGCCTCGCCCCCTTTTCCATTAAGTCTAATTTTTCTCTAAGATTATACGATCGATTTCATACCAATACCAAGTTCCATCACTCTACCATGAACACTTTCGGAGATATGTAGTGTTAATCTTCGGTTTGTATGGGAGGTGTCACGCCCCCTTTTCCGATAATTCCAATTTTTCTCCAAGAGTATGCGATGGATTTCATATATCTCCATACCAAGTTCCAGAACTCGAACATGAACATTTCCAGAGATATGGAGTATGAAAATTCGGTTCGTTTGGGAGGTTCCACGCCCCTTTTATATATCGAAATTTTTGTTAGCCGGTAACCATCCTTTGAACGTCTAAAGCAGGTGTCCGAAATTTCAACAAAATCGGTTCAGCCGTTCTCGAGCTTTGCGATATACATACTTAGATGGATAAGAGTTGCTGCTTTTAATATTGCGCTCACTTATGCTTGTCAGTAAACTCACAGAAGGTCCACCTGACAGAGACCTCATGGTAAGAATTGGGGAATATCACCAAAACTAACCTATCGGTCTTTCAATACGGTAGTAAGACCCGTTGTCACATATGGGTGTTTCCATGCACCCGTACGCGACATTAGTACGCTTATGAAGTAACATAAATCTCTCAAAAATAGAAGTTACTGAAAAACAAGATTACGGTTGTGTTGCAACCAAAGGGTACTATGTTTGAGAAAAAAATAAGCAGCCTCGAAACTTTGGTGTGGAAAATATCCGTTCAAAACAAGATGATAACGTACGCGACAAAAAAAGATGTGGTTTTAAAGCATATATACATATATGCGAAAGTCTGCGAATCATGGGAGTTTTTCTTTTCTTTAAAAATTCCTAAACTAGGCTAAATAATGCACCTTTAAGCTGATGCCACATAAAACTTTTGCTTCGCTTTACGTGGCAGATTCGCTTTGACAGATAAGATGAATTGTATGAAAAAGCTGCATGCCACATAGATCCTTGAAGCTGCAGCGCTAAGCGAAAAGATGGCCAACTCCCATCTTTTTGGCCCCTTTGACAATCAGCGGGTTTAATATTAATTAATACAATGATTTTCGGTTGTTATGCACTTTTTTGCAAATTTCGACGTGGGTTCTGCGCAAAAATACTGTGGATGGCGTAGCCGGAGTGATATGCACAAGAAGTGTTGTATACCTTTGACATGCGGAAGCCCCTCTTCTCCGGCAACACAGAAAGGAGAATTCTACTTAGTAAGGGTTATAATCCATAAGCGCGGCCGAAGGTAGAAGCAAGTGCAACAGGTGGTGGTCCTGCATGCATGTTTTCAATGGCTTGGAAGAAGCTGTTATTGCATTAACTGGTTTGAGAACCAGTTCTTCAGGCATAGGAGGAGTTTTGANTAGCGCGGCCGAAGGCAGAAGCAAGTGCAAAAGGTGGTGGTCCTGCATGCATGTTTTCAATGGCTTGGAAGAAGCTGTTATTGCATTAACTGGTTTGAGAACCAGTTCTTCAGGCATAGGAGGAGTTTTGACTTGTGGTTCAACAATTCAACCATAAGCTGACATAGATGCGCCCATGGTTACTATGCCCGACAGCACCGCATATCTTTGTGAAATCATTCCCATAGCGCGCTCTTACTCCGCTGCTACAATTGCAAATGCAATAGAATCCCTCGTTTCCTTCAAAATATGTAAAATCAACAATTTTTCTATAAATAAGCACTTAATGAGTGTTTCTTTAATTCCTTTCCACTTTGTTTTTCTTCATCCTCCTCCATTGAGCTATCTTCGGAAAATTCGGGTTCTAGAATAAGGAGGCATATTAGGTACATACTAGGGATGTTGCGAATGTGGAATTTTAGACATCCGCGGATGCGAATAATGGCGAGATCNCCTTCATCGTCCTCCATTGAGCTATCTTCGGAAAATTCGGGTTCTAGAATAAGGAGGCATATTAGGTACATACTAGGGATGTTGCGAACGTGGAATTTTAGACATCCGCGGATGAGAATAATGGCGAGATCGTTGTTTAAACAGCGCTTACCAGCTAAACCAGATACATATGTCAGGTTTTTCTAAAGCTTTTTAAAAAGAATTCTTCATTCTTATTCCTTTGGCTATTTCAGAATTTGGGGAATCTGTAACTTTATCAGCGTTTTGAATTATTTATTTATTTATTGTACTTTATTTGTATTTATGTAAATAGGTGGATATGGAAAATAGATTATTATGTTTGAACAAAATTCTGTTTTTAAAGTCGTGGCTGCCAGCCGAATCGGATCNTCAGGCGTTTTGAATTATTTATTTATTTATTGTATTTTATTTGTATTTATGTAAATAGGTGGATATGGAAAATAGATTATTATGTTTGAACAAAATTCTGTTTTTAAAGTCGTGACTGCCAGCCGAATCGGATCAGAATATTTTTATTTTTTTAAAAAGCACCCCGTTTTTATAAGCATTTGAATCTCAGATAGTTACGTAATTAAAGGTCAGACCTATAGCTTTTTAATTATTTGAGCATCGATTCTCTTTATAGCCAGAGTTGATCATCTCTGCTGGAAATCCATGTTGAAGGAGCTTACTTTTTGACTTTAAATAGCAAAGAAGGGACAGTTTTACCACAGAAGTTTTTAGCCAAGGATCCAATGTATATCCCTATGAAAAAATATTGCCCGACAAGTAAACAAAATTACTGTTTTTAAAAGGTTTCCTAAAAATATGGAAATATGTTTACGCAGTTACGAGGCATTTACGCGTTTCCATGAATACCCATAATNGGTTTCCTAAAAATATGGAAAATGGCTTTATTTACGATGTTTACGCAGTTACGAGGCATTTACGCGTTTCCATGAATACCCATAATATGTTTAAAGACATTTTTATCAAAGCTGATAAATATGACATTTGACCAATTTTGTTACACAAATACTCCCACGACCACAGGCCTAAGTATTGGCATTTTGTTTGCCATATATACGTTTCATCGGTGCACTTGCACAACATTCGCATTCGCAAAAGCTCCGCATTGATTANTCCACGACCACAGGCCTAAATATTGGCATTTTGTTTGCCATATATACGTTTCATCGGTGCACTTGCACAAAATTCGCATTCGCAAAAGCTCCGCATTGATTATTGCGAATGCGAATGTTAAAATTAATGCGTAAACTCCGCGGTTACGAATGCGAATATTCGCAACAACCCTGGTACATACGTATTTTCCTGAATAATAAGGAACAATTTCATAATCAAAATCGAAATATCAATCAATATGTGCCTCGTTCTTAATCACAATCTCAACCTCAATCGTGCCCAACCCCCGCAACTAGGGTTGCCAACATTTTGTAAGATATTTATAGTACTTAAAAAAAAAATTAAAATAAGTAAGTGAAAATCTTTTTGCTCAATATATTTTTTTGCACTTTTGGCAGTTTTTCACAACTCCTTGTTAACCACGAAAGTGTTATATGCTTTATCAGAATCAATATTTAAATTAATATAAATCAAAAATTAGTATTGTGTTAGTGAGCTAATCGCTTTGTTTCTCTCATTTCGCCATTTCACATCCATAACAGAAAAAACTCTTCCAGTGAATGCCGAAGTAGCAAGAATAGAGAGTAGAAATGAAATAATTTTAAGTAAATTTGGTCATTCATTATCAGTATTTTTAAAAAGGCCCCATTTTTGATCTGTTTCGGTTCATAAACTCACCAAGACCTTTTATTTTGTAGAATATTTTTTTAATATTGTTATTTCAGTATAAAGATCAACCATTTTAATACACATATTTTCTTACAAGTTACTGAAATATATTTATATTTATAATTGAAGAAATATAGTATTTTTGCGTACTATATTTTTTTTCTACAGTATATAGTACGCATGCCAAAAAAATAGTACATTAATATATATTATAGTACGGCTGGCAACCCTAACCACAAACCGTCTCATTCCTTCTAATTTTTGTCGCTTTTTCGTAACATCCATGTTTGTATTTAAACCCAATCGAGCGCAGAGAACTTTCAGCTCAAAAATCTTTCGTATAATGGCAAAAATTAACAATTAATGATTACGTATTTACAACAAATGTTTAAAAAAAAGTTTTAAACCTTTTCGTAGAGGTTATAAATTAACTGGTTATATCTTTTTGTCAATTGACAAAAACTTTGAAAACTTGTTTCTATTAATCAGTTCTTGGCCTTAAGCAAACGTTAACACCAGTCGACGAACGCAAAACCAAACTTATAATGGGCTTCACGTCGGGTTCAGCGGGCAGTATTTCAAAATTTCTTAAAATCTTGCTTATCATACTTTTCATCTCATTAATTGCGAATTTTTGGCCAATACAGTTTCTCGGTCCCGCGCTGAAAGGTGTGTAAGCAAAAGGATTGATTTTGTTGTCACTGTCGCTGGCAAAACGTTCAGGTTTGAATACATCCGGTTCCGGAAAGTAGTCGGGATCGCGCAAAATAATAAAGAGTGGGATGGAAATATTTGTATTGGCGGGCAGTACTATGTCGCCTATTTGATAGAAAAAGTCAAAAAATTATGAGCATAAAATACAAGAGCAAGCAACCTATGCGTTCCTAGTTACTCACCTAATTGCATGTCCGCGGTGATCTCGCGTCCGATCGTCACCACCGATGGGAATAAACGTAACGACTCTTTAATTGTGCATTCCAAATATTTTAACTCCTGGAGCTCGTGTAGTTTAATTGCCCGCGTTTTGTCTGGACCAAGAACCTGATTTATCTCCTCCACCAACTTTTGTTGCACTGGCGGATGCCGAGAAATCAAGTACAAGCAAAATGATATGCCACTTGTGGTGGTGTCATGACCCTCAAACATAAATGTGTCGACCTCCTCGCGTATATCCCTGTCACTCAATGGCTTACCATCCTGTGAGGCCTGTAGCAGCACGTCCAACAGTGTCATACGCCTTTTACTACCGACATCATCCACATCTTCGTTAGCGTTGGTGTTATCCAGCTTTTGCTTTTCCAATGCGGCGCGGCGCTCGAAGATTACTTTATTCGTAAATTGATGCATGACGCGTATATCTTCCAGCATTTGCTTATAAACGCTGTTGGCAACCAAGCGGAAGACCCAATCAAAGCGCCAAAACGGTTTTAGGAAGCGCTGTGACATTGTTGCTGCGGCACTTTGAGGACCACCGAAATGGAGCATTGTAAGGAGAAAATAGTTAATAATTAAGTTAATAAAAAGTAGAGCCAACTGAAAACTTACGATGCTAATGCGCGCACATATTCAATATCTGGATTTTCCTGCGCGTGCACCTTAACACCCATCGCCGTCTCAGCGATAATGTCTAATGCAGTCAAGCAAACGATTGGAAATATATTAATCGCTGTTTTCCCATCAGCATGCGCGTTTAGCTTCTTCACCATTGCACTACTCTGTTGGTCGAATATCTCGACAAACTGTTCAAGTATTTTGAAGTGAAAGGTGGGCGTTATTACCTTCCTGCGCCAATGCCATTTTTTTCCTGTGCTCAACAGCAGTCCCTGGCCCAGCCAACTTAACAGAAAGTCATAGAATCTACTTTTTGTGATCTGTTGTTGGCTACTAAGTATGATCTCCGTGTATTTGGGATCCGCTATAAAAATCGTTAGTTGATGAAGCACCCAAAATCTATGTATTTTGCCATATTTTGCACAATTTTCAAACATTTTAGCGATGCGGTCTACGGAAAGAATTAGTTGGGATTTATATTAGAATTTATATAATGTATTTACATTAGGTTGATCCAAAATAACTAACTTAACCAGTTTTTGGCCTTAAAAGAACATATTTACTGAGAAGAAAATTCTCCCGTTTGGAAAAATTTTTATTCCAATTTTCAAAGGCATTTGAAATTATTCATCTAAATAACTGACATGTAAAAAATTTGTTTTCATTCAAGATTTTTAAAATTGTTGATGCTTTTCCACAATAGTTTTTCTTTAAAAATGGCACCAAACTCAATAAAATTTTCTTAAATTTCATTAAAAATGTTAGAACTATTGAACCGTTTGAGACAAAAATTTTCTAGACATATTCTTGTAGGGCATTAATTCTGTCTTGGTTGTCTTAGAGATGATTAAGAGTATTAAATATGTTAATGATATTACTGAACGAGATATATCGTTGATACAAAATTTCAATGGAACTTTGACAAAAGATCAACATTTTCTGTATGATTTTAGTGTAAGCTTTTCATTTCGCATGAATAATTCCAATCATAAAGCCTTAAAACTGCATAATTCTGCTTTTTTTTTGCAAATTTCATAGCCCTAAGTATATACATTTTTGAGTGTATTTAATCAACTTTAATAACTTCTTTGGAGAATTCAATACCCTATAAGAATATGCTAAGAGACAAATAGTTATAACATTTTTAATGTTATTGACATGAAAAATTTTAAATGCCCACCGACACCTTGGAAAAAATTGGAATACAAATTTTTCCAAATGGGTGAATTTTGTTCTCAGTAAATAGGTCTTTTAAGGCCATAAATTCGTTAGGCTAGTTATTTTGGATGACTCTAATATACATATGTGTACATCGGCTCTCATACTCACTATCCACATTCCAATCTCTTATATACAGGGCGTTGCCAAGTATGGGCGTAGTTGGAGGTCCAGATATTCTATATTTGCTCATGAAATCATTACGACGCTTTTTGTGGACGTAGTCCCAAATAAAAAGGACTGTTATTGTGAATAAAATCAACTCGAAAAGCATTTTAGAGAACTGTAAAATTTTATCCGCACCTTTTGCAGCTGTAAAGTAAATTTTAATAATATTTAATTAAAACTCCCACGAAAATCGGGCAAAAATTCCTTAGTTACCCACATCTTAAAAATTTATCCCACAAAAATTCCCAACGAATTCAAAACATATACATAATTCAGTAGTAAAGAAGTAACATTCATATAAAATAATAATAATGGATTGGCGCTACACATATGTTAGTGTTTGGCCACGTCACACATAGGGGAGGGACCTGCAGTTTTACGCCGACCATTGCCTGTCGAGGGCGACCGCTGTTAAGAAAAAAAAATTATTTATTTTTTTTATTTATTTTTTTTTGCGATGAGGCTTTGACCATGGGGATTGAAACCAGGTCGTGGGGAGTGGAAGCGCAACTGCTTACCACTACACCAAACTATTCTTTCGAGACTCAAAGGTCGGTAGATTACTCACTGAGGGCTGGGGATGCTAATTTTTGTAAACTAAAAATTTCACCAGTTTTCAAACTTTTTATAAGCTCATTCTCGACTGCCTCTAAAATCGTGTTGATTCGCTCTTTCACAGTGTGATTGTGAAGTTCCAAAGAATAAGTAACATATACACGTGTGCGAAGCTGCTGCGCTTCCCAGCAAAAAACGCGATTAGCACAGAAACGAAAGTGGAAACGAGCTAGGCGATGGGAATCGCTTACCCTTTCGTTTCAAGAAGGCATTGCCATTGATCGTAAGCCCTTACCCGCAGCATTACCTTCGAACGAAGGGAGAACGCATGGATAAACAGAATCAAGAGAAGCGAACAAAGAATTCCTTACAGAGAAACTAATATAGAATGCCTAGATAAGTACATATTTATTTGTATTAAATTGAAAACCGAAAATACAGATTGTCTTAAAAGATTCAAATTTTTACAAATCAGTTTTTATACATATACTAGATCGCTCTCACCCGCTTCGCTGAGTGTATGAAATTTCTACGTGCTACATTAGATGTAATTTATTTTAATAAAACTCAACATACTTAAAATATGCAAAATCATGCGATTTAAATTTATTTAATATCTTCAAAATATTTTCATACTAAAACTGTCTTAAACCTCTCTCTTGTGATACTCTTTCATACTTATGTACATGTAATTTAGAAATGAAGTATTTCAAAATCATTTCGATTGATACCCATATAATAATAATTCATTGAAATAATTGAAAATTTTCAAATTTACTTTTTAGACCGTTAATTCCTATAATTCAAGTTGAATTTGAATCTTCAAACATGTGGAGTCCCTGCTATACATATGTTGCCTAGAATTAAAGCCAAGACTCTTCGATTAAATCATAGATTGTAATACATAACTCATTAAACTTATAACATAATTGTATTTGAATTGAGATTTATATCAGGTGGCAACCCGCTCCAAAGACCTCAGAAACCTCTCGTGGCCTCATGGCTCGACTTTTAAAAACAAGTGGCAACCCTCTTCCAATTATTTTCCTACTAAAATCCTATTAAATCCCTCTTGTCTGACGTCCATATTGTGATACATATTCCAATTATCAAATTCCTTTAATTCAAGAAGAATTTGATTTTTCAAACAGATGGCAACCCTCCTACATGTAGTTTAGAACTAAAACCTTATCAAAAACCCTCCTACATGTAGTTTAGAACTAAAACCTTATCAAAAACCTTTTGATTGATACCCATATTGTAGTAATTCATTTAAATTAAAATCCCTTCTACCAAAAAATTTTAATTGGGTAACGCCGCTTCGAATTTTTACAATTGAGCAATTGTCAAAAATCTGCCTTTTTATCAAAAAGTTGTTTACCAGGGTGTCGTTGAACTAATTATATTGAATGATTGGTACTGAATTAAAGAATGCAAACACATAAAAAGATTGCAGCCTTTTCTATACTCATTCAGTATTAAACCTTTTTTGATTTGGCATTGGTTTTTTTAATCTTGCGATGAATATGTTGATGTGTGAATGCATAACTGCTTTGAGCGAATGGAAAATTTAAAAATTATAAACCTCAATCTTAAGCGAGGAATAAGTAATGGAAACTGAATAAAAAAAATTCTTGATTAAAAATTGAAAATGATTTCACACTTACGCAGCTCTGATACATACATATAATACCTTGCGACAGGTAATTTTACACACAAAAAAGCAATATATTCGCGAAACCAAGGGCCAAATACAGTAAAATTGGGTTCTTAATTTTTCTCTCTGACGTTAAGATTTTTTAAAAGAACCTTGAAATTTGAAGGATATGAGTAATTCAAAAAATTTATTTTTTAAACGGGTGGCAACGCTTGTAAAACACCTCAGTAATATTTTTGATGTTCAACCTGAAGGTTTCTTAGCCATCTTTCATTTGACACCCATATATTAATTATTTAGATAGCTTGTGAATAATTAATTTAAATTTGCCTTTTCGAACAGGTGGCAACCCTTTCAAACTACAAATTTTTAAGCCTCTTGTCAGCCATTCTTTAATATAATTTTCAAATAAATAATTCCCTTAATTCAAGTCGAATTTGATTTTTTCAAACAGGCGGCAGCCCTCCTCCATGAGTATGAAATTGTTTTTATATACATATATGTATCTATACCAAGTCCCTGTACTCTATTAAAAATATTTTCAGGTTTATGAAATGCGGTATAAAAATTCTGTTTTATGCCACGCCCCGTCGTATAATCGAGATTAAATCTATCCTATATTTTAAGTTGGGCTAAATGGCACCACTGCACAAAATTTAATGGGAATCGGTTGCGTAGTTAAAGCGTGAAAGCGCAACAAATAAACAAACTCACTTTCGGATCTATAATATTAGTAAGGAAACCTTACTATAAGCATCTACCATAGATATGTCTGTATACCAAATTTAAAGTTCATGTGACTTATGGTATCGAAGTTATAGCTGATGAAAAATTCCACGCCTATGCGATGTGCCACGCCCCCTTTTATAAACTTATTCACATACACCTTACTATAAGCACCTAACATATCTGTGTCTGCATACCATATTTCAAGTTAATGTGACTTATGGTATCGAAGTTATAGCTGATTAAAAACTCGACGCCTCCGGGAGGTGCCACGCCTCCTTTTACAAACTTATTTCAACTTCAAGTTCATGTGACTTATGGTATCGAAGTTATAGCTGATAAAAAATTTGACGCCTATGGGATGTGCCACGCCTCCTTTTAAAAACTCATTTATATATATCTTATTATAAGCATCTACCATGGCTATGCCCGCATACCAAATTTCTAGTTCATGTGACTTATGGTTCCGAAGTTACAGCTGATAAAGAATTGCACGCCCCTTGTTTATTTATTTATTTTTTTCTCCCTATTATAGGCCCAGGTGACATGGCCATACTCTGTCAAAATTTCGTTCAATTATGTCCATCCGTTAAGGCTGCAACCTGGCACATACATACATACATACTTCCACAAATATATAGTAGAATGTCTATCCTCTTAGCGTAAACCAATTTTTGGAGATATCTCGGCCACAGGGCCACCTATCGTGTACATTTTTAGTCCCAATATTTATTTTCAATTGGCTAACATATGTTCTATATATGAGCCAAATCGGCAAGTAAATGCAATTTTTATGAATATCCCGACCCCAGCGCCACCTAGCGATTAAATTTTTAGTCGAAATATTTCCCTTCAAGGTGCTGACATATGCTCCAAATATGAACGAAATTGGTCTAGCCGTTTAATGGCATTCAATATACGGAAAACTCTATGAAATTGTGAAGTCGTGATGTCTCAGCTTTCTTCATTTTTCGACAACAACAAAAAGTTAAAAATTTTTTTAAATCGAAAAACCTTCCACACAGAAGGTCCAAAAAACGACTTTTTACATAATTGAAATCGGTTCAGTCGTTTGGTCAGGCATCGCCGTCATACGAAAAATATTTCATTTTTTTTATATATGTAGATATGTATGTATTTACGTATTTAGTTTTTATTTAAAAATCGGTATGTACATACATGCATATTTAATTAAGCTTAAAATTATACTTCCTCACTCTTGTACTTCACTTCATTGACTGACTACAACTTCGCTGCAAATTGAACAAAGCAAAACATGATTTCCACAGAAAGTAACAGTAGAAAAAGAATTTTTGGATATTGATTCTATTTTTCAGCTGACTGCAATGCAGCATTCTACTTTGAATTCCCCGAAATGAAGCAAAGAATCGAATTAAAAAAATATTATAGGACATTCTACTTTGCATTCCCCGAAATCAAACAAAGAAGCGAAATAAATAAAATATTGTAGGACATTCTACTTTGCATTACCGGTAATGCCTAAAAGAAGCGAAAAAATTCGAAGGCATTATTACGCTATGCCTTCTAGAACACGTTACCACTAAAAGCGATTACCGATTTTTCTCGGGACGAACGGATAAGGATTGAGCCAACAGCTTGTGTAAGCAAATCCAATTTTTTGTAGCAACTGTCATTTACGCGGTTTCGCAGAATGACGATACGCGGTTTTGTACTTTAAACGACGATATGTATGTATATGCCGAAACCATGATATTGTAAAAATGAGATTATACAATGATATTGCACGCAAAACTGTAACATTTGGGTGCAAAACGTCCAACTTGATTGCGGATCGATTTAAACCAACGGTCGCAACGTTTATGGCTTGCATTATGTCAAAATTATGTGTTTGTTGTAATTCATGTTGTCATTTACTACGTTTGTGCGTAAGCCAATTCATGCAATCATTTCATGAATTTGAGTATAAACTTGAGTGCGTGAACACGAACCAACCCAGCCAGCAAAATATCCGGAAACGTATCCGAAAATGGAAACAATTTCGTATAAAAACCTGATGTTTCATCCGTTTTCCGGTTCCGTTTTCGGATGTTTTTCAGATCAATTCTCTCACTTAAGTGTTCATCCGAAACGTATGTGCAGAAAACTATCGAAAATGGTTGTAAAACGGATTTTTCGCTGAAAACGATTTCATTATGAACTTCACAGAAACTTTTTCATAGTTACAGGAAACCAAACAAAAAACAAATTTAAGATTCAGCAATTATTTCAAATTGAATAACTAATTTTAATGTGTTGCTTCTGATGGAATTCGAACCTGGGACCTCCTGCAAGCTAACAAATAGTAGCATACTTCTCTGCACACTCAGCTACTGGCGAATATGTATACATGTTTTCAAATGCTCAGTTTGAGCAAATATTTTAAAATCATTAAAATAAGATGATGACACGAAAAATGAACAAATATGAAAATCGTTTTCTGAACATTCCCGGAAACGAAAAATGTACGAAAACTACACTTTCGGCAAAAAGTACGTTTCTCTGCTGGCTGGGAATTTAATTTTAAAATTTTATATACAAACTCACACACACATTCTCATTTTCAATCTCAAACAACAACAACTTTGAACGATTCCCTTTTTTTACTCTCAATTTTATATGATTTTAAAATGTTGGCAAACTTAAAAAAAAAGATCATGGCCGACGAATTGAGAGAACGGTTTTACCTTACTATGTTTTTATCATGATTTCAATTATACACAAAATAGTGTTTATGCAATGAGTTTTAACTCAAATTCATGAATTGGACTACGCATAAACGTGATAATTGTAAGTATAATTTGTTAGGTAATTTTATATTTTTATAGTCTTGCAACCACATGAATACATGAATTCGTGATAACAATAAATGAATTCGCCTTGGAAGATAGAAAGCGAGTAAGAAGAAATGCCAAACAAAGGAACATACAATAGATAATTATGTGACAGTTCACTCCGTTCAGTTACTTCCATTATAACCCGGTCCTAAGGATGCTAGCTGGGCGAATTCATATTAGGTTGTGTTACCGGAAAATGAATAAACAAATTATATATCAGCAAAATGAATAAAATGAAATGAAAGTAGGTAATGTTTAATTTGTAACTCAATCGCCTAATTCACAGTATACAGTAAACCAGCCATTGACAATATGCTTATTTCAAAATTAATACGTGAAATATTGTGAATGTATAGGATTTATTTGTCATTAACCCATAGGCAGCGGCTGATGCAAAAGTACCCACAAATGTTTGTTGATATATTTGACATGTAAATTTGAACAGCAAAATTCGTAAAAAAATACTAATAAAACAAAAAGATTTTTTATTACTACGTGGGAAGTGGGCGTGGTTATTGGCAGATTTCGCCAAAGTTTAACACTAACCTAACTTATACCAAAGGCAACTTCGACACCGACTTTCGTTAAAATATCTAAATTTTGTTCGAGTTAGCGTGTTTACAAACAGAGAGGGCTGAACTAGTTCATCTCGTCATTCTGAATATTTTGGTATATATGTATGCATGCATGTGTGTATATATGTACATACATTTTATACGGTTAACAAACGCGCTTGCTTANGAATATTTTGGTATATATGTATGCATATGTGTATATACATATGTACATACATTTTATACGGTTAACAAACGCGCTTGCTTATCTGCATAAACCGTCTTTACTTGCATTAATTCATGCATTATCCTCTTTCAAATGTGAATAAGCGGCTGAACAAATACATACAAATTTCGCGCATTTGAAAATTAGAGAGTTCTACCTTAAGCTAAGTAATATTTGTTTTACCGCCTAATCGATGGGACCATTTTAAAAAGTCAGCCCACCATTACTCACTCAAAGTTGTGTTCGGAACACGGTTTGACTTATGTAGGAACTGCATCCGGTTATAATCGCTTACGCTTCACGCTTGATTTGCTTGGAATTTTGTTTTTCTCGTTATTTTATTTTATGTGACTTGAAAATATTTTTCACTATAAGAAAATATTTAAATTGGATTTCGTTTGGGTTAACGAAAACGACAACTGTGAAAAAATATCAACCAATACATTCAAACAAAATGTCAAATAAGCATTTTTACATTTTGTGTTTTGGCTATCTGGATTACTGTATACTGTGGCCTAATTGTTAGCAATGCCGTACACATACATACATATGTTTACACATTAAATTTTGTGAGTACCTGGAACAGTAAAACCCGCTTAAGTACCTCACGAAAAATGTCAGCTTTTTGAGGTACTTAGGCGGGTTGGGTACTTAAAAGAGCCCGCTTAAGTACCCCCATCGAGGTACATAATTACTGATGTAGTTTCATCAGTTACATCTTCTTGTTAACTTACATACAATAACAATATTTAATGAAGTATACATAGTTTAAAACAAAAATCGTAGCATTATGTAAACACATAAACAAGTTAAGAAAAACTTTATTAAAAAAATATTTAGTGCAATGGTATGTAATTTTTACAAGAATTAAATTGTTTAAAAAGTCAAAGTTGGACATATCATTTTGTACCAAATTCAGAATGATATTGTTTGACACTTATTTTTATTTATTAATTTTTAAGATTTTTCAATCAATTAAAACGCAGTTCATTCCCTAACATATACCATTTAAACCTAAGCTTAATTTTGCAGAACACTTAAAAAAATAAAAATCATCATAATTTCAAACTTTTTTCTCAGAAGTGTTTTTTGAGTACACAGCAGTGATGCTAGACATTCTCTGTTAAATATCCCACGGAAATGGGGAAAAAATCCCTTAATTACCCACATCTTGAAAATTTATCCCACAAAATTCCCAACGAATTTAAACATATACATGTTTCAGTAGTAAAGAAGTAAAATTCATATAAAATAATAATAATAGTTTGGCGCTTACACATATGTGCTTTTCCTCCAATTTGTGGCGGNCACAGCAGTGATGCTAGACATTCTCTGTTAAATATCCCACGGAAATGGGGAAAAAATCCCTTAA